CAATTCAGGCTCAGGCTTTTTGAATGTCTGTGCTTCGCCTAGGAGCAAGGAGCAGAGCTGTACCTACGTGTTGTTAATGTACTTTATTATGAGAATGGAAATTTATCTTCTGACCTAAATCAGTTAAGTGCTCGGTGTGCCATTGGCTTTACCTATGCTCCTTCCGTTTCTGAGTTAGGATGGTTGTGATTTTATAAATAGGGACTTATGACTTCCTAATGCAATTACACTGAAGTAGAGTTATGAGGGAAAATGGTCCTTGATTCAAATGCCTGTCACCCCTGACATAAACCACAAAAGGAAAGCTGATTACATTGTATTTTGCTGTCTAATGTTATTGTACTATTGCATTCATGAATTCAACTGAAAAGAGATAAAGCAAACAGGAAAATGTCAGGAGTTTCCTTCTTCCTGGAAGCATACTTTACCTCTCTTTTTTTCTTTAGTGAACCTAGTGAACTTCAGGTTCATGGGATATTGAATATTTTTTCATCTACTTTTTCCTTCTCAGTTCATCTCAGGAAAATACACCTTTACAAAACCATACAGTCCTTGTACTCCTAGAATATTTTTAGACATTGGCATATAGTGACCTGTTCTTTTTTTCTTTTGTTTTTGTCTTTTTGTCATTTGTTTGGGTTTTTTGTTAAATTCAATTAACAGTTTTCAGTAATATCTGAAACTAGTGTTCATTGTATTTTTAATTCTGGGAACAGCTAAAGAGAGTTTTAGCTTTTTCACTTAAAATGCAACTCTGGTGTCATTCCAGAGAAGTCAGTGGAGTTTCACCAGAAATGGGTTTGTCTATTTTTACCTGATACAATATTCCAGCGTAGTGAGGCACTCAGTCTTGATGGAGGTCCACTGCAGGCATGTGGCTGCATTTCCAGAACCAAAAACGAATGTCTATTCACTTGCAAATTGGTTCAACCTACACAGGTTAGACTAACCTGCAAAGATTGAATCAATTCAGGCTCAGGCTTTTTGAATGTCTGTGCTTCGCCTAGGAGCAAGGAGCAGAGCTGTACCTACGTGTTGTTAATGTACTTTATTATGAGAATGGAAATTTATCTTCTGACCTAAATCAGTTAAGTGCTCGGTGTGCCATTGGCTTTACCTATGCTCCTTCCGTTTCTGAGTTAGGATGGTTGTGATTTTATAAATAGGGACTTATGACTTCCTAATGCAATTACACTGAAGTAGAGTTATGAGGGAAAATGGTCCTTGATTCAAATGCCTGTCACCCCTGACATAAACCACAAAAGGAAAGCTGATTACATTGTATTTTGCTGTCTAATGTTATTGTACTATTGCATTCATGAATTCAACTGAAAAGAGATAAAGCAAACAGGAAAATGTCAGGAGTTTCCTTCTTCCTGGAAGCATACTTTACCTCTCTTTTTTTCTTTAGTGAACCTAGTGAACTTCAGGTTCATGGGATATTGAATATTTTTTCATCTACTTTTTCCTTCTCAGTTCATCTCAGGAAAATACACCTTTACAAAACCATACAGTCCTTGTACTCCTAGAATATTTTTAGACATTGGCATATAGTGACCTGTTCTTTTTTTCTTTTGTTTTTGTCTTTTTGTCATTTGTTTGGGTTTTTTGTTAAATTCAATTAACAGTTTTCAGTAATATCTGAAACTAGTGTTCATTGTATTTTTAATTCTGGGAACAGCTAAAGAGAGTTTTAGCTTTTTCACTTAAAATGCAACTCTGGTGTCATTCCAGAGAAGTCAGTGGAGTTTCACCAGAAATGGGTTTGTCTATTTTTACCTGATACAATATTCCAGCGTAGTGAGGCACTCAGTCTTGATGGAGGTACCCCAGATCTGTGCCGGTGAAACTCTGATGAATCAATGAATTTAGAAGAGCAAGAACTAGAATAACATGGTTGTGAGTCAAGAACTTGATGTCCTTTATAAAGTTTTTTTTTTTAGAGAGAGGAGGGAAAACAACATTTTTTTTTAAAGAGAGAGAGAGAGAGAGAGAGTATGGGCCCTGAGTACCTGACCAGAAAGCTGTAAGTTGTTTCTTTAGGATCACTTGCTGCTGGTAAAGGTTAGGGGATTTAATATAAAGGTAAAATGGTGTCAACAAGAATGTAAGAGCTTGTAATAGAAGTAACCTTTTTAGAACAAAGCCTCTACAGCTCTCAATTTTACTAGCAATTGTGAAAATCTCTAAAACAGACAGGGGAAGAAGTTAGAGACATCTGCTAAGTTCTCACTAGCTTTCCTGAAGACAGCCAAGTTCTCCAGTGTGAGAATGCTACTTAATCATCACACCAGCAATAACAGTATCTTTATTAAATCTGAATAAAGGTTAGAATACCTTAGTTCTCCAATTCCCTGTGCCTTTTTGTGTTAAAAATTCTAAAGTTATCTTTTCTATATTCTATTCATCTGACCCCAGCTGACTTCCTGCCCTTTGGACAGGGGACTGGACCCAATGATCTCACAAGGTCCCTTCCAGTCCTTATGTCTATGAAATCTATTGCTATGAAATCTATTCCAGTGGCAGGAGCTGCCCCCACCCCATGAGCCACGCCTCCATCCCACGTCCCTCCCCTGCCCTGGCTGGGCAGCACCTGCCCCGGCTGGGCAGCACCTGCCCCTGCCCCCTCCTTCACCACCCATCCACAGCACCATCCACAAGATGGAGGCTGTGAAGCCAGGCAGGGTAGGCCTGCCCCTATCCCTTCCTTGGGACTTACCTCAGCCCTAGGGGGCAGAGGCAGCTCCTCCTTGCACCAGGTGGGACTGGGCAGACCCCCTGAAACCTGCTTGCAGCCCCCACAGTGTGCCGTGGACCCTTGGTTAAGAACCACTGATCTAAAGCTCATTCAACGAAGTTTATCTAAAGTGCCCCCATGGTCATTTTGAAATGTGCAGGGGCTTAATACACGTGATGGTGAGGCAATGCTGCAGCCATCTAATTAGAATGAGGAACAGAGCCTGATCCTAATGCATTCTAATTAGAACGTGAACGAGTGCACCTATAGCACCCAAGGGTTCCAAGTCACCTGAAGAACTGTGGTTGTAGGTACAGTGCCACACCATGTCATTCATGTGTTTTCAAAAACCTAGGAAATTATACATAAGAGAACTATGTTAAAAAAACATTACTATGACTGCATTGTCAGTTCTCAAGACCAAGGAAGTGTCAGTATGAGGTGGCCCTCACTGGATCCTTTATATACGCGTTATGATATATTCATTGATTATATAATTATATATTATATTTTTTAACCATACCCTGCCTCTTCCAGCGAAAAGGTTATACTTACTTTGGGCATGAATCAGGGTTATGTAGTGAAAGGCACTACTAACTATAGGACCTCTCCATTATTTCCTAAAGAAGTAATAATAGACAGGGGGGTTCATAAAGAGAAAGGATAGCTTGATGATAAAGACAGCTGAACGCTGAATGGATTTTCTTCCTGCTTGTCACAGAATTCCTGTGTGGTGCTAGTCATGTCATTTAAACCAAGTGTGTGACATCAGGTCACTTAGGTTAGAAATAGACATCATCAAATGAAGCAAATCTGTTGAAATGTGTTCTTCTGGGGCTTGAGGGGCCCAGTCCTGCACACCCCAGGAATCCTCACACAGGATCAGGCCCCTCAAGCTCTGGGAGCACCTGCCCACTGAAGTGCATCACCGGGATTTCACGCCTTTAACTTATATAATGATATCAAGTCCTTTATATTCTTAATATTCTGAACAGCCAAGCCCTTGGTAACAAACACTCAAACTTAGTGATCTCTTTTGAGAGTTTTGGCCTTAATCTTTCTCTGCCTTGGTTCTCCATCTCTAACATTGAAATAATAACACCATCTCACTGGAGATTTCTTCTAAATTAATCAGTGAAGTGTTTATAGAACCTTTGGATCCTGTAGTTATGAGTACCATAAAAGAGGATATGAGGAAATTAATAAATCTTTGTTCGGGGCTAGGTTTGGAAATACAGTAAATATAGGGTTGGTGCCATGTATTAAATGATTTTGTGTGCACATAGATTGGTCTTCCTCGATTAAATAAATTTCATATTTACTATATAATGAAGCATCAGTGTGTGCAGCTGAGGTGTCATATGTAACATATTTGCAAGTGAAATAGAACATGAGAATACAACAGTTTCCTTCCTGGCTACATCTAGACCATCATTCAATAACGCTGAACAGTTAAAAGCATGAAAACTTAAGTATGCATAACTAAGCTTCAAATTCAGCATTTAATGTTCATTGGTATATCTTTGTTTCTGTCTAAAACACAAGGAAAAGAACAGTGATCTGTGTACATTATAAATGGCAGAACCATATATTTTAATGAAGGTTTAGAAGCCCATGAAAGTCCTCAAACTATGTAGGCAGTGGTTGCTAACAGGTGTGCATCTTAGGGTGCTGCAAGATCCCTTTGAGAGTGCCGTACAGTGCAAGGAGATAAGCACTCACTTTTCCCTACCTGACCCCTATGCAAGGCAGTAAGCCAGGCTCATCTCTGCTTGGCTCCATGCAAGGAGGTAAGCTCACTCTTGTCCTGTCTGCCTCTGCATGAGGAGTTAAGCGCTTACTCCTCCTTCTTCCCCCCTCCCACTGAGTGAGCAGCTAAGTACAGGCTTGTCTGTGCCCAGGTCCAGTACAAGGAGGTAAGATCATAGTCATCCCTACCCTGCTATTTCCTGGGTGAGTCTACATAAAATGTTTACTGCAGAGTTGCCTAATTTGCTCTGCACTACACTTTTCAGAGTCTACACGTGCAGTGCTATTAGGATGGATTAAGATAATTAACTCCATAGTAAGTTAGTACTTGTAACAGTGAACTTGTTGTAATACTGAATAGATGAAAACATATGCACACTGAAATTTTAAGGAATAACAAATGGAATCTGCTGCAAGGTGCTTGGTTTGAAACCATAGGGAAGCAAAATGATAAACTGACATCTCAATCACAGAATAAGTAGGAAGAATTCTGTTTCCCCCAATGAATAACTAATCTGTTTTATTTTTTAAAGAAAAAGACCAGCCTCCACAGAGCAAGGCAGGACAAGATATTGTGCTACAGTCACCTGTAGATTGGGCGATTTTGGATGGCCGAGAAAGTTTAGATGACCATGGAATCATACAGTATGAGTGGACTTTAATGCAAGGTGATCCAGCAGTCGATATGAAGGTACACATAGTAGATCTTTTAAAATCAGTTGTTTGTTGTTAACTGTGTGTGGTTCTTTTGTAAATGTGGAAATAAAACATGTAATGATCTCCCTTTACTCAGGTGGACATGGTTCATGGTAAAGTTAGGATAATTTAAAAAACAACAGACGTATTTTATATGAGTGATGGAAAGCACATAATTAGCAGTAAGGGAAATTGACAGTATCACATAAGTAGGTTCCAAAAATCTGTTAGATAATCAGCTCTGCTCTCTTCACTGTAAATGTTGCCTTCTTGTTCAGCTTCTAGGAGCCAGGTCAGACACCTCCATAACTCCATTATTAAAATAACACAATAGTTTCTCTAACAACTTGTTGTAAGAGCTTGCTGAGAAACTAAAGGTGTTGTACTAAGACCATCTCCAATAAAGGATGCTTCAAGATGATCATCATACGAGACTTTTAATTTATTCCTGAGGTTTAAAATACAGTCTTGTTTCATCTTAAAATTAGACACTGGTCTGGTCCTCAAGAAGCTGAAAAGACCTAGAGAACAACCCTTTGCTGGCTGGACAGAATTCCCCTAACACAGATACTGCATAAACTACAGAAATAAAAGTCTTATGCACAACCGCTCACACCCCCAGTGTTGATAGCATGCTGGGGACTCATTCCAGCACATATTCCTGTAGAGCAGTGCTTCCCAAACTTTTCCTCAGCATAACCCCATTTCCTCAGCATAGCCCCACACTCCCCATCCTCAGCTCCCCACCCCCATGACCCCATCGGCTGATGTTGCAACCCCATTGTGGGTCATGACTCACAGTTTGGGAACCACTGCTGTAGATATTTTGCATACTGCTGGTGCCCATCTTTGGTGAAGACGCTCAGGATTTACAATCAAGCAACTGAAGGCAAAGTTTGTCCCAACAGCTGCATTAGGCAATCAAGTTTTTTTTTAATCCCTCAAGTGTTAATTTAAGGTCCTACTGTATTTACATACACAGTCTTAATAAAGCTTGCCATGTAGTTCACAAAAGATTTGATGAACTGGTAAGAAGACAGTTGGGTTTTGATGGATGATACAACAGATCAGGAGTGGGTTTTCCCACGTGTCCAGTCAATGATTCTTTAGCCCCAGTCCAACAGTCTTCCAATGGCACAATAATACCCAAGAGCCTTTGCTGTCCCAACACTGTAATTAATGTGCCATAGTGCACAGCATAGATATGTGCTGCATGAAAAATACACAGCCCTCCAAGCAGTGGTAGCCTCAATGCCTGCCACTGGGTGTGGAGTTAAAGTTGGGGACCCTTAAGGAACCACTGACTGTTCAAGGTTTGATGAACATATTTTGAGTTATACCTATTTAGTAAATTAGGTCTGACAGCTGTTGGGACAATTTTTTTTCCTTCCATTGCATCATTATAAAATGCAATCATCCTCATTAAAGATGACAGTTAGACCCAATTTATTTCAATAGAACTGAGCAGAATTTGACCTTCTGTGCAATTTGTGTTTTGCTTGTCTCAGAAGCACAGCCCATACAGGTACACCCCAGGGAAAGGGGTGGCTAATGTGCTTTTAAGTTGCCTTCTGATTTGGAGCCTTTCCAGATCCAGTATGACCCCAATGCCAATTAGTAGCTCACCCCTTCCTGTCACTGGGAAGTGGTCTCTGGCAGGATTAGCTGACAGCATTTCCTCTATTCTACTCAGCCTTCTTCCAACCCACATAATGGGCATATCTACACGTGCCCCTATGGTGCCATTGTTACTGCACCATCATTTAGTACTTCCAACATTTATGTTTCCTATGTTTCCATAGCAACACGCTATACCAAAGGAGTGTATCACTACGACGACGTAGCTACAGCATCACAGTTTGTCTTCCAAAACTACATTGCCCTAGAGCATTGTTACAGTGAGGTAGCATCACGTGTAGACACACCCACTTCCTCTTAAGTCCAGGAACCACAGCTGACACTGACTCCTAGGTGACTCTCAGGTCGGTGTGGTAGCTTAGCTTTCCAGCTGAGTGTATATTGCTATACCACTCACAAAATATAGGACTAGGATATTCAAAAGTATTAGTTAAGCCAATGCTGAGCATTGTGAAAAATGTTACAAGGCCCAGTTCTTAGACTGATCAGCCCAGTGACTGATCAGCCCAATCCTAGATGATTTTTAGGGATTTCAAAATGGGAGTTTGCCACAAGTCAGCATGCCATTGTATGTCTGTGTACTTAATATGCTGTTTTGTTGTTATAAGATTAAAAGGTCAAAAAGGCATTAATTAACTAGGTAGGTAGTGAAGTATGCAGAGACCGTGAATGGAATTTGAAGAACACCTGCCACCTTTCTTGTAGATAAACCGAAGAGCTAAATATCTAGGGCTGTTAAGCAAACACCTTTCAGAATATTTTATTTATTTAAATTTTTTTTTCTAAAATAATCATGATTAAAGAAATTACTTTGGTCATGCAACAAACCAAAAATGTAAAGACATAAATGGAAGTGCTGTTAAATTAATACGCGCTATGGGAACCTGCTTCCAGTTCATCAAAAGTCTGTTGTCTATTTTTAAAACTGTATATACATCCAAAAGTACCAGAGAGACTGGGGTTGATGTTTAAACAAAATAAAAGACAGCTGCTGCTTTGCATTTAAGTACAAAAGAACAAACAGAAGTCACAGGTGTTGAAAGGGCTTATATAAAGAGATCCTATCGTATTGTATCAGGCTGCCAGTGGAAAGAAAAGGTTTTGTTTTATGATTATTTAGTTTAAGAGTAATTTGCTGGTCTAATTTCTGCTTATGTGCTGTGGCCACTGAACTGTGCAACAGGCAGGTTTTTTTAATTATAACCTGGAAATTTGCTGCTAGCTTCATCAAAGATTTAGAACAAGCAAGAGAGATCCAGGATCTGCTCAGAATAGAAAGGGAAGAGAAGAAAAGGGAAACCAGAAAGTCACAAGGCTGTATTCTGCTGTCTTGTACAGAAATACATTCTGCAGACTAGAATTTGGCTGAACAGGTCATTGCATTTTAATTCTTTAAGTTGTAATGGCCATAGCCATTAAATCAGAGGGAGGAAAAAGTAATTTTAAAAAGCAAAGTAAACTTGGAAATCAACATAAAAGAAAGAACCAATAGCCAAAGCATCATGTAACTAGATGCCAACAGGACTAGATACAATCATTGTATTTGGCAAGCAGAAGTTACAGCAGGGATATTAATTTCATCAGAAGAAATAAATGAATTTATCAACAAACCATGTTGTAAATCAGATATTACAGTGGGAGCTCTTTTATGCCTTGGAAATTCCTGATAACTTTTACCCATGAAGATGCCATTTTGAATGGGTCAAAGCAAAACTCTTCACAATGTTTCTATTTTTTTTTTTATTAAAGATGTTTATAAGGGATATCTTTGCTCAGTATTTCTCACATGGAGCTCAATCCTGTAAAATGTTGAATGCTTCCTGGAAGGTGCTATACACACTCAATGGCTCTGTTGAAGTGTACATTTCCTAGAAGTTGTCTAGCACCAGAAGTCTAATATGAAAGAAGTTCCTCTGAGCTTAGGAAAAGCATGTCTCCATTTAAAATCCACAGATGTCAACTCTTTCCTGGAACTTGGCACCTAAGTAATATTAGTCATTACACTGCAGTTACTCCCAATACAGATGTTTTATTCTAGAATAAAACTGCAGGAATAACTGCTCCGTTTTATAAACACACTGCTTATGTGAGAATAAAATTATATCTTCAGGAATAGAGTATCTTCACAGAGAGTTGTTCCCCAACAGTTGCTTCCTTGTTTAGGCAAGCTTTTACCCAGATATGGGAACTAGATGGTAGCAGGTCCAAAACTGACCTGTATTACAGCACTGAACAGAACATGTGGCTTCAACTTTAAGAGCCAAAGCAAAATTACACAGCAAGAATGCAGATCAGCTGTATCAATTGTTTTGTGTAGCCAAAACCCAGCAGTGTTCTTGGCACCTGGTTAGGCCTCTGAACGTGACCTTTTATCTTTATTACTCTTGTTGTAGCTGCCTATTTACCAAATCACAGTTTCCATGGGTTGCTTGTTCTCTCTTGTCTTCGTCCCTTTGCTAATCTAAATCAGTTCCCACGGGTACTTTTCTGGCTCTGATCTTTCAGTGTCACGTGATATAATTCCTCTTGCCTAAGTAGCTCTACTTTCTACTTGGACTGTCTGTAGAGATTAGACACCTGATAACTCCAGTGTTTTGCTATAGTTTTTTAACATGACTCCCAAGCACTCTCTCAGCTTTCATTCTCTCTCCCTTGACTTCCATTTGTGTTTTCTCTGAGCCCATTCATGTGCCAACTACGTCCGAGTCAGAGGGCCTAGGTACCACACAACCGCAAGTTGTAGCATCAGACTTTTGACCGTGTTCTTTAACTAGGCTAAAACGTTGATATTAAGGCTTAAGATTTCCTTTCTGCTACAAACTGCATTTGTGTTGTAACTGGAATGAGAGACATAACCCAAGCTTTATCTGGTTACAATAGGGGTGGGCAAAATATGGCTTGTGGGCTGTATACATCATGGCAAATGATCCTATCCAGCCCATTGGCTGCCACTGGGAGCCTGAGGAGGTATGGCTGCACCCCATGCTGCTCCACTCTGCTGCAGCCAGGAATGGGCCATGCCACAAAGCATAGTGCAGCACACAGATTCCCCACCCCTTCCCCCCACATTCACCCTACCCCCAGCTTCCTGTTGGCATTGCAGCTGTGCAGTCCTGGCACTGCAACTGCCAGCAGCTGGGTCTGCACAGAACAGGGCATGATGCAGCATTCTGAGTAGCCATCCCACCTGCCCAGCCACTGCAATGAGCATTGACAGCTGTCCCTGAATTTCCCAATGAAACACAGTGCCAGCAGCAGATGATTGTGGGTGAGCAGGCAGACAGGATCACACCCCATCCCTTGTGGGCCTGCCTGCCAGTGGATGCAGTGCAGGACTGTGCAGTGCCAATAGGAAGCCAGGCGGGGGTGGGCAGGGAAATGGATACAGGGGGGTCTGCACATTGCATGGCCCAGCCCCAGCTATGGCTGAGCAGAGCAGCGCAGAGCGCTGCCCTCCCTTCTCAGGCTCCCAGTGGCAGCTGGTGGGCCAGATAGGATAAGTGCCAACCCCACCCCCAGCTCTCAGCAGCTCACCAAAATTTAAGTGGCACTCCAGCCCAAATTATTGCCTGGGTTACAAAGTTTGGTTGCATATTTTTTTTCTGCCTACAAATTGCAAATGAGAATCAGGTGCTAAATTCCAACTCAGGATTGGAGCCTTAGAGTTTGTTCTAAAAATACATTCTTTATCATACTTCATATTAATATGGATGTAGTTTGTACAGCAAGACCTGGCTGCAACACCCCCTGGTGGCCAAGTGACTCCTGCCGCACTCCGGCTCCTTGGGCTACCCTCCCTTTTTACCTTGCCTGCCATATCTTGATGGATCTTATAGTGTTTAGAGAGGTTGCCCAGGGTCTCAGAGTCTCAGGGTCTCAGAGTGAGCCTCAGTATTTGGGCACAGAAAATTATTATTAAGACCATTGGCGACGCATAGGGGGTGCACATGGGTGCACGTGCACCCCCTGAGATTGTCCACTGCTGATACTGCTGGCAGCACCTGCAGGCATTCGCTGCTTGCCACCACCCCCTGCTGCCAATGCCGGCAGTGGCATCTGCAAGTGGTTGCTGATCACCGCTGACCGCTGCCGCCATTGGCAGTATCTGCGGGTGGTCACAGACTGCCAGTTGGCATTCGCCATCACCCCCTCCCCCCACCACCAACACTGCTGTGGTTGCCTGTGGGAACTCTCCACTCGCTCCCGCCACGCCCCAGCCCCACCACCGCTGTCGCTCCCTGTGGGCGGTTGCCATGTCCCCCTAGCCTCCGGGAGCACATGTCATTCATGATTAAGACCACTACATAATAGTTCAACATTTGGCAAAACCAAATGGAAAGCAGGAAAAGATCAATAGCTATTGACTGATATATGAGCTTAAGCAATCTGGTGAGACTTGAAAGAGAAATATACTGTACTTGATGCTACAGTAGCTTGTTTAAGAGAATTTCAAAAATAAACATGCCGTGTCTTTTCTTTTTGTTAGGTACCTCAGCCAGGTACACTAAAGTTATCTCACTTTCAAGAAGGTGTGTACATTTTCCAGCTGACTGTGACAGACACTGCTGGTCAAAGGAGCTCAGATAATATCTCTGTGACCATTCTTCCCATGGTTCACTCTGCATTAGGTGAGAAAATTATTTAAATTATAGCTTGAATGACTGTCAGGTTATATGAATTCCTCTGTCTTGGTGGAGATATGAATGGAAATACATATCATAATCTTACTCTGCTTATAAGTTATAACAGTACCTTTTCTGTATCTTCACATGGCTACTTCAGACTTGAAGGATAAAAATCACTTTGTTGGTAAAGAGGAATAAATAATACTTTTGTGCTTCTGAATCACTTGGTTACTGATGCACATGCAGAATTGGACAGCAGAACAACAGCCCCACTCTTGCATATCAAAATGGTGCATTGCACAGTTTATGGAGGATCAATAGAGCATGGCAAAGGCATACACTGTAGAAAAGGAGCAGGCAATTATTTCAGGTGGAGGGGTGCTTAATGAGGGTTGGTGAGCTGTTGAGGGCCGCATGGGTATCCCTGCCTCTTAACAGGTGCCTCACCTCCTGGCCACCATCTTGGGACCACAAGTCCCACCCCTAACCCTAACCCCTGACCTTTGCCACCAGAAGTCCCTCCCCTTGCCCCCCAGAAATACTCATTTTGGGAGGGGGGTTGCCATCTTAGAACCAGAAAAAGACAAATCATACACTAAATGTCAAACATCTACTATAACATATTTTAATTTTATTACAAAAAATATTTTTGTCATGGCCCCCCCAACCCCTCCCCATCAGTACACCATTGGTGTGGCATTTGTGGGGTGTGGGTGTGTGCCTCTGGAACACACTGTCCACTTCTGCAGTCAATGCAAGCAACACTGAGGGGTGTGGGGGGGGTGATTTGTGGGGTGTGGGGGAGGATGGGAGGAGTGTGAGGACCCCCCCCACACACACTCCCCCTATGGCGCAGCAGCAGGTGGGGGCACTGGTGCCTGGCTCTGTTGCCACGTTAGTGCTGGCCAAGGAGCGCAGCCCCCACCAGGCCGTTTGTTTCCCTGTTGCTCCCTTCACTCACAGGGCACAGGAGGGAAGCTCTAGGTGCTGGAGCTGGCTGCTTTCCCCATCCCAGACTGCTCCAGTGCCTGGGGCTTCCCTACAGTGCCCTGCAAGTGCAGCCAGCCCCAACCCTGCACTCTGTTGTCTCGCCCAACCGCAGCCCCGCCCCCTTTTCCCTATCTGCTGCCCAAAAGGAGCAGGATGCCGTGAAAGCCTGCAGCAGCATCCCATCCCGTGCTAACAGGGCCCGCCCTTCTGCCCACGAGGGTGGAAGTGAGGCATAATAGGATATGTTGGGGGCAGGTGTATGTCCCTCACTCCCACCCCCGCAGGTGGATGGGCTGGGTGGGGTACAATTTGTTGGGGGCACCGCAGGCCAGATAAAAGTGTGTGGCAGGCCAGATCCGGCCTACAGGCTGTATTTTGCCCACCCCTGCTATAGAAAGAGACCCTACAGAATAAATGAATAACTTGAAGGTTTCATAAACTTATAACATTAAGAAGCATTTATTTAAACTAAAAAGAGTTGGCTTGTTTTTTCTTTTATGCTTTCAAATGTTTCCCTCTTAAATGTTTGCACCCCAGTTGTTGCAGCTTTATGCCAGCACAAGCATGTGGGGCTGAAACTAACTGATGTATTTAAAGCCACAAGCTCTAGAAAATACAAAAAGTAAACAAATAGCATAAATGATGGAAAAGAAGCCAAGTCGATAAAGTGCTCAGTTGTGGTGATATAAAGTTCTTTTTTTCCCTTTTTTTTAAATAGTCTCCAAAAAATTTGCAAACTGACATAAATGAATGTAGTTGAACCAGCACAAATTCCCTTACTGTACACAAAATTTGTGGGGATGTTAGCCATAACATTAAAGTTTAACAAAATGCATTTTTCACAATATGATTTTTAAGCTAATTGACTGTCTGTACACATGGTGGTTTGCACTCTAATTAGAATACTTTAGTGTGGCCTCATTGTCACATGTATAAACCACCACATATTTAAAACTGGTCTCTGGGGCACTTTATCTAAACCTCATTCAACAAGGTTTAGATAAAGCATCCCACAGCCATTTTTAAACCTCTGGGGGTGTAATACACATGACAATGAAGCATTTTAATAGAGTGGCTCTTCAGCAATTAAAATGGAGCCCCCCACTTCTACCCCTGAGCACATGCAGAGGCAGTGTGCATTCAAGCCCTGCTTTCATTGGAGTGCTTAGCTCTTAAAAGTTGCTGTTATGGAATGTGTAGGTTTAATAACCAAACTAGTGGTCTCCAACCTTTTTAAGTAGGAGATCACCCTTGGCATTGAAAAGGAACCCAACATCTACCATGTGCCACCCCCCCACACTCCCCGAGCAGGTAAGTCTGTGGGGAGGGAAGGGGGTGCAGATTGAGGCAGAGGGAGAAAAAAAGTATATGGGGGCACACCCCCAGGAGGTCAGGCTATGGTGAAAAGGGCAGGGGGAGAAGAAAGTGGGGTGGGGATACAAATCGAGGCCCCAGCCCTAGCCCCACTTCCTCCCTCACTGCTGGGGCCTTGATCTGCTCCCCCTAACCCCACCCCAATGGTAAGGAACGGAGAGGGGCTGGAGCAGGGGCAGGCCCTCCACAGCCAGGGCACAGAACAGAGCTGTAAGTGGCTCATCTTGGGGGTGGGGAGGGTGAGAACACAGCCCGGGAGGGCACGGGTGTGTGCCCTCAGATCTGCATGCCGGTTGGGCTGGCTGCCACTGTGGGCTGGGCCTGGGCTGCGCTCGGGCCAGGCAGCGGCAGCACTGGGAGCGGGGCTACAGGGGGGGCTGCAGGCACCTGAAAATTCACCACAGCCCCCCTATAACCTCCCCTCCCAGCATCACCACCATTGCCCAGCCTAAACGCAACACAGCCCAGAGCCCCACCATGATGAACACAGCACTGCCTTCCCCTTCCCCCACACCTTCCCCCTGGGATCTGCACTGGAGGGGCGGGGGAGGGGGGGGCTGGGGCTGGAAGGCAGTGCCACACTCTTCACAGCGGGGGTCTGGGCCATGCTGCATTCAGGCCAGGCGGCAGTGGCAGCACTGGGAGGAGATTTAAGGCGGGGACTATGGCAAATTATGAGGAGTCTGCAGCCCTGCCCCACCATAGCCCCGCTCCCAGTGTTGCCACCGCCTGGCCTGAGTGAAGCCCAGCGCAGCCCATCCCCAGCCCGCAGCAGCAGCCGGCCTGACCAGCGGGCAGATCTGGGAGCACATGCTTCCTGTGCCATTCCAGGTTGCGTGTTCCCCCTCCCATGCCTCCCAGACTTGCTGCTCTTGGCTCCATCCCATGTCCTAGCTGTGCAGGGCCTGCCCCTGCTCCAGCCCCACTCCCTCCCTCACAGCTGCTGCAGCCACCCGTGCTGCCTGGTGTTGAATGTGCCTCCCCATCTGTGCACGGCAGAGGCTGGGCTTTGCACCCCAAGCCCCACTGCAGCTGGCCCGGGAGCAGCCCCACAGCATGTGCATTCTGCTGCTGGGCTGAGCCTTTTCTCCTGCCTGCCCAGCAGAGGGACACGTGGCATTGGGCCACTCCTGGGCAGGCTGCAGTGGGGCTCAGGGCACAAAGCGCAGCCCGCAACTGCAGCTGATTCCACCGCATACAGATAGATCGAGATCGACTGGTTGTTAACCACTGAACTAAACGCTAATTTGAGATACTCACACAGAATAATTTGCTGGTACAATCTTAACCAAACATAGGATTGATGGAGTTTTAAAAAGCAAAGAAACACGCTGGCATTGAAAGTGCTTCAGCAATAGTGACTTGTAAAAATCTGATAATTACAAGGTCAAAAGTGTGTTTGCTGGAAAGTCTTAAATATTTAACAGCAATGCTGAAATGTCCAGGGACATTCTCCATTACCAGAGGAATCTAAATATTAAAGCAGGCAGAAATCCAATTCTTTAGTGAAGGTCACTTGCAAAGATATGGGCTCAATCCTATTCCTGGGCATACTGTGTTTGAATCAAGGGAATCACTTGAGTAAGTGAAGAACATAGGATCATGCCCTTCATTGGTCTTTTAACCAGTTTTATTAGAGTATAAACACGTAACGGGGAAAAGCCCACAAACATAAAAATAAAGTTGTTTTGTGCATGTAGCATACAGTTCACAAATAGATACAAAACAAATACACTGTTATTAATGGTTTCTGTAGCAAATGCAGTTGCAGTCCCATAATTCAAGATGATCTCGATTGTTTTCTTTAGGAACTGTCTTCAGTTTTGAAATCCAAACCAGACTTGCTACTGATTGTCTTTAGCACTTACCCAAACTGTGTGGTCCTTGCTTCCTCTGTATTGTAGAAGCAGAACTGCTTTCCATCCCTTAGAGCTGCTGTGCAGCTCACCCAGGAAACCAGCTGGTAGTCACTGCCTTTCAGTGTTACCATTTCTCCCTGTTCCCTCTACTTTCTGACTGCAGAACAGCTCATAAGGAGGGAGAGGGGCAATAAGAAAGCTTCTTCTGCTCAGCATAACAGCAATATTAGGTTTTACCCTATACGCTGTACTTCTTGGCATCAGATACTAGAGTTTCTCAAAACTCACTCACTGAAAAGAACAGGAAGTAAAGAGGTGGAGCAGGGAGAAGAGGACTGTCTTGATCTCCCCTCATCATAGGGCAGGCCATGGTTATGTTTACATGGAGTTTGAAGAGTTGCTTTAGAAGAACACTTAGGAGCTAGAAATCCCAAACTGTAAGCAGCTCCTCCTGTTGTAGAGGCAGTACCACAGCAGTACGGGGGATTCCAGGTTATTGCTTTTATTAAGAGCTTCTTTGTCAATAAGGTATTAGACTAGAATCAAAAGGCTGAGTCTCTTCAGCTTTTTTCCCCCACATGTTTATATTGACAAACTTAATATAGTTCTTAAGATTTAATAACTCTCAGACTTAACACCCACTGTTTGGGCCTCCCTTCAACAGGCTGTGTTGGAGTTTGCTCTCGCTACCAGTTCATTTGTGATGATGGCTGCTGCATAGACATCACGTTTGCTTGTGATGGAGTGAAGCAATGTCCTGATGGATCAGATGAAACCTTTTGTCAGAGCCGTGAGTACATAACACGTTTTTTTTTTTTTATCTTGGCAGTAGTGGTTGGGAAAGGAGCTTATTACAAAATGAAGGTTAAGCTAATCTCTCTGCTCTCTTTTTCAATACACAATTTGCATTCTCACATCAAAATTAGCATTTCAAGCCCTTTCTTGAAAAGAGTGGGCATAACAGGGCATTAGGTATTTAACAGAAATTAATTAATTTTTTTTAAAAGGATATTGAAACTCCAGGAGATGTTAAAGTAACAGACTTAAAATCACAGTTCTCAACACCACATTTTGAAATATCAGGGGTTTTTTCTTTACTGCTATGCTCAGGGTTCTTAGATTACTTGAAGGCATGGCTGAGAGGTCAGACACTTAATGTAGAGTATGCATTGCTCTAGCTGTGCACATTGCAATAATCTGAAATAGTTGGGTGCCTCAAAATGAGCAGCTAAGGTGTCTAGCCAATTCACCACCGTTCTGACATACTTCACCACTCCAGCTGAGCACCTTCACATGGCTTTGACTTTGCTCCTGTGATCTGTTCTGTAAAGCAGCTGCACTGCTAACTGCCTGTTCTTGATGCAGTACAATCATAGGCGATGCGTTGGAGGGGGCGCATGGAGGGCATGTGCCCCACAAGATTTGCCCTTGCCGGCTGGGGAGTGTGGGCACTGCTAGAAGTGCTGGCCGGTGCTCTCCCTGAGATTGGTGCTGGCTGGGAAGTGGGAGCTTCAAGAGAAGCACCAGCAGCACTTCTGGTTTTGCTGCCGGCACTTACGGTTTTGCTGCCAGGGCTTCCAGGGTCGGTGACTGCCCCCACCCCAGTCGGCAATCAGCTACTGGTGCCCCCCCCAGACTCAGGAGGCACCAGTTGCCCATGACTACAATAGGAGTGTAGTTAAGATTTAGAAAAAATATGTTCCCAGGTGGTTCTGAGAATATGGTAGTTGTGTCAGAGTTCTGTATACTCCCTCAATTTGATGCACTAGTGCATGCTAATGTTCTTATGAATAGGAGTGGAATAATTGCTCTGCTATTATGAAGTGTTGATTATACGGTAGTGTTATCTTGTATAAGAGTAGGTGGAAGAGTAAGGTTGTATTTTTTAACTACATTAATTATATTGCATGGCAGTGAACAATATAGTTTAAGTTCATGCTTTATTCACAGTGGGTCCATTGAATAGAGAATAAACAGGAATTCAACTTCCTAGTAAATTATTATATTTATATTTATATACATGTTTTGCGTATTTTAGAGGGGCAAAATGAAGGTTGGCCAGAAGCTAAGTCTTATTCAGAAAGTGACTAAGGAGTATATGGCTGAATCCCTTAACTCAGGGGTGGGCAAAATGCAGCCCGGGGGCCGGATGTGGCCTGCCAGGCAATTCTATCTGGCCTGCAGGGCCTCTAAAAAATTTAGAAAATTAATATTCATCTGCCCTGGGCTGCCTGTCATGCTGCCCTCGATGGCTTGCCGAAACTCAGTAAGTGGCCCTCTCCCCAAAATAATTGCCCACCCGTGCCTTAACTGCTCGTTATCAGATACGTAAACACTTTTTATTCCTCTGTCACACTATTTTACCCCTCTGTCCCTCCCCTAATTAGAGCTGAGGTTGAATGTCCTGAATGAAGTGTTGGCATTATGTTTTTTGCCATCTTATGCATAAGCCACCTTACTATTTCTTCTTAACTTTTTAGTGGGGTGTGTCCTCACCTGGCTGCACTCAGGCTGTTTGGTTTCTTTCTTGGGGAACCTCCCATAAGGTCTCAGGTGCTTCTAGGTAGCTAATGCTAGGCCAGGACTCTTTCCTTCCCTGCTTTTTGGTTATTATTACAGTGCTAAAATTGTCAGATCCCTGCAGCCAAAGTTCCAGAGTAGTCCAAAATGTCCTTCAGAGACAGCAGAAATGAAAGTACAGCTCCCAGAAACATATTGCTGCTGTTTTCTCACTTCTAAATTCTTTCTTCTGTTTTATATTCATCCTGTCTCTTGCTCCATTAAGTTGCTGGAGGCTATGTGCCCTGGCTTTGTTGGTGGTCCTGTGGACTGTTCATCTAAATTACTTCACACAGTCAGGAGTTTCTAGTTTCTCTGCCACACAGCTGTCTCCAAGGATACCTTAATATTCTTCACAGGCCTCTGCCAGCCACTTTAGTCATGCTGCTCTTCTTCAAAGCAGCCCCTAGAGGCTCAGATTGGCTTTCATGCACCTGGAAGGGTGGATTACAACTTTAACACAATTATAAAGAAATGAGGCAATCTGTGGTTTATATTGACAGACAGTTGTTCCTTACGTCTGTCCAATATGTCTCTTACTGACTTCAAAGAATAAGGCAGCATCTCACGGGACTGCAAGTGGTCTTTATTTTGGGGGTGGGGGGGGAGCTTTTTTTTACGGATTGGCCTAGTGAGTCATATGAACACTTAGTGCAGTGATAGGGATCCTTGAATGGATACTCTCAGGCTGAAATGAACTAGATTGATTAGCCTTTGATGCCTTGACATACCTGAATTCAGAGAACTAAGGACAACAGAGGACTACTGCTGATTCATTCAGTCCATGATCCAGTGTAACCTCCAACCCTTATTTCCCATTTTTGACTTTGTGCATTTGTTTTCTCTTTCCTAAGTGTAGCACTTTTTATTTGTCTTTCTTGAACTTCATCTGGTTGAGTGCCGACCATTTCTCTAATTCACCAAGATCAATCACTTCCGGACACACTTCTCTATGCACTGTATCTAAAGCCTCCCACAACTTGTTGCTATCCACAAAATAGAAGCTATTTATATAATATATCATTATCATCCAAGTCATTAATGAAAATACTGAATCAAACTGGAGGTGGAGGTAGGGGTGATGTGTAGGGGTGCACGCGAGTGCATGTGCACCCCCTGAGCGTGGCAGTGCACCCCCTACAAAAAGGCGCCATTGACCACCTGTGGGCAGTCACCACTCACCACCCCTCCTCCCTGCCACCAACAGCGCTGGTGGCATCTGCAGGAGCTCCCCTGCTTACCACTACCATGCTCCCGCTGCCGCCACCACTCTCCTGCTGCTGCCGTGCCCCCCAGCTGCTGGGGGCACGCATCATTCATGGGCAGAGGTCCTCTCTCCTAGTTCAACAATTACCATTAAAAGCTACTTGAAGTTTGCTTTTCTGAAATCCATTGTCCTTATTCTGCTGCTCTCATTTCTCTTTCCTTTCCTTAGACTCATGGACTGATCCTTGTGTGATCATTTTCATACCACACTTTTCATCTTCAGATTCTTCACCACTTTCTCCACATTAGTCAGAATCAAACCTCTTAAGAGAGTAAATACTTCAAAGGTGGTAAGGTAATCGTTCAATAGGGCAAGGGAGGTCCTGTAAATTCCCACAACAGATTAATCAGCCTAGTCCTGTAATTGAAAGACATTTTTCAAAGCAGCCCCAACCATTTTGTGAAGAGAAATACCTGAACGTTTAAACTGCTATGGCAGGAGTGTAAACTCATTTGGTCCCCAAGGCAGCATGAGTGGCCAAGGGCCAGGTTGTGGCCTCATTGGACCCACAGACTGACCCATATTCCAGCCCAAGAGCTACCGCTGCCACCGGGCTGTGCAGTGTGGCCTCATAGCCCCAGAACAGTCACATGTGCTACTCACAGCAGCTGCTCTGGGGCACAAGCTGGAGTGGATGCCCCTATAGTGTTCAGGGCCATCTGATAAAACCCACAGGCAGCACCAGGAGCCGAATAATACTGCTCTGGCAGGCCATGTGTTTGACACCTGTATGCTAGGCCATAGCCCACAATCTCCCATGAAGTGAAAAATGACCATTAAGCAGAGGTGATCGTGGTTTGGTTTTTCATGCAAGTTCTGTGAAGGAAGGAAAAGATTTAATAAGGTTATTTTTATAATTACACAACACCCCCAAGACTGCCCTTGGCAGCCAAGAGTTTTGAATGCTTTTTTTCAAGGAAGGGGAATGTAACAAGCAATAGGACAACAGAGAAACCAGAGACTGGCTATTGTTCAGATTTGCTGCAATAATCAGAACAGTGAAATTAACAGCTTGGTTTGATTAATGGCTTTAATCATGCAGCATGGTCCATTACAGTGCATAGCCTTGAGACTGAAAAAGGCCATGCAGTTACACAGAATTTGCACTTATCCCGTACGCATGTGGGTGGAGTACATTGCTCACACCGTGCTGCTGCTTTTCAGACAGCAGATTTGTTTAGGGGATTCACTCAGTAAGAAACAAGCACCTAAATCCAGTGTAAAATTTATATTTAGTGTTTCAAGTGCCAAAGAAAGCTGCCATCTAAACTGAGTTTGAATGTTGAGCAGTAGCAGAGTCTATTAAACATGAATGCTACGTTAGAGTGCAGTCTTTTCCAGTACGAGACAGCCATCCACTTTAATTCCACATGAACATTATTGCCCTTATGTTTATAAAAAGCATATTTTTATTTCCCTTAATTCAGTCAGTCCAGGCCGAAAAACAGTGACTAATGCAGCTATTGGCATTGCCCAGCAAAGACCCATGGGGCTGATTAAAAATGCAGATGATGACCTCTCTGCAGAAAACACCCTGAAAGCCACTATAAGAAATCAACCACTTTCGTTTGATGCAGACAAGTCAAACCAGACGCTTTCTCAGAGACCAAAGAAACAAACTGGTGGGTTTGTACCAGGTAAGAAATGGTTTCAGTCAGTCACGCCCTATTGACACAGGAGTACCTTGTGCCATTTTTGACACCTACTCACAAGTAACGTTTTGCAAATGTAGTAAAAGTAGGGGAAATTATAAGTGGTTAATAAATATACCAAAAATTATCTCTAAGGCCTACCAGTGGCCTTTCTAGCAGCTGGTAAAAAAGGAAGTTACATTTTCCAAGCACTAGAATTAAAATCCAACCAACAAAACACCCAGATAAGTGTGAACACATTTCTGCCCCAGACACTGCAGTATGTGCCTGCCATGGCACTACAGTAAGGGTGGCAGCAGCTGTCCCAATGTGAACCATCAAGGGCTTTGATTCTGGGGAAATATTTTTCATATTAAAGTTGCTTTCTTTTCTAGAACTGCACTTAAGTGCATGACCATCTGGTGTCAATGCAGAAGGTTCAGTGCCACACGCAGCTCATAGCCTGATATACTCATGGACTTTCACCTGTGGAGATCAAAAACCCCACACACTGTTGCCTTCAGAGGCAAAGAAGCTATTGAGAGTCAGTGAATGATACCATGGCTGTGAGCAAATACAGAACACTCTCTTAGCCAATAATGGAAGCTGCAGTGAAATTGGTTCACTTTTTAACTCAAAGCATGAATAGCCCGCTGCTGAGAAGTTAAAAAATTAGCATGGCAAGTAAATTAAATTAGCTGCCATACCCAGAGCCTTTTACAGACACACAGAGTACAAGAGACACCATTTTCACATGGTTAATATTTAGAGTTAAGCTCCCAGAAATCCAACTCATTGTAAATACAGTATTATTTTCTTGTTACAACAGAGCAGTGCTTAGCACCCCCTGCTGCCGGCCCTTGTAAAGGGCACTTCCCTCGTTGGCACTTTGATGTTTCTTCAGGCACTTGCTTACATTTCATCTATGGCGGCTGCAAAGGGAATGAAAACAACTTCCTTCAAGAATCTGACTGCCTCAGTGAATGTGTAAAAATCCATGGTAAAACATTACCTCTGGTGGGAAAAAGGGGACATATTCTGTAGAGTTTTCTTTCCTCTGGCAGTGCAGTATGTGACAGGAGCTCTCTAGACTAGAGGCTGATCTAAAATTCCCCATTCTGCTGAAATCCTTTTACCTTTTATAAAGCTAATTGCTACCTAAGATTATAAATGCATGTTAGTTGAAAAGGTAGTTGTGGCTTTTTCTCAGTTAGGTTTACTTAGGGCATTTGACTGCCCTTTTGTATTGTCTGTTTCCGTGCTTACCCTGCACAGCTATTTACTCGGTCACCTGCCCTTGTTAGTCTTTCATGCATCAGAGAACATGGAAAAACAGGTTTAAAAATAAAAAGCCAATTGTAAACCCCAGAAAACTGGCATAGGGAATCAGGGAGAGGTATGGTACCAGAGCCTACTTACTTCACTTTTTCTTAACCAGACAAGATTTCCATTTGTCTCTTTTTAACTCTTGGACTTCTAATATTACTTTTTTTAAAGTTTTTCTATCAGAATTTAAATACATTTCAATGAAAGTTAAGAATTCCTCGCAGAATAAAATCTCAATAGAGTCTCATATTTTTGTCCAGAAAAACTAGCAGTCTCTACTGACATCTTGGCAAAGTTAAAATAGCTTTTGGCCTAGATCCAAAATGGAACTCAAGTACTGAACATCAGATTTAAGTCTCCAAATCCTGCCTAAATCCAAAATCACAGTCTTCACAATCCCCGCTCAGGTGCCACCTAACCAACGGATTTTGCTTTTTGTCATTAAAGCTCCCCAGCTGCTTAAAGTTCTTGTTCTGCATGTGTCTAGAAGCAGCTTATTTTTGACAGAGGCAGCTCAGTGCCTAGTCATGCCTAAGTAGGCTGACCATACGTCTCAGTTTGACCAGAACAGTCCTGGATTTTTTGGGTTGTCCTGGTGGTGAAAATAGAAACAGAAGTGCCAGATTGGTGCCACCCCTCCCGCACTGCCTCGCCCGACTCCTCCTGAGCAGTGGCTGGATGTGGGGAGCAGACCGGGCTGGGCACAGCTCCTTCTACCTGAGGCTGGGATTAGCCAGGGGGGACAGTGTCCCAGATTTCCTTCAAAATAATATGGCCACTCTATGCCTAAACCTTAGCAAGATCCGTAAACTAGGAGTGCCGTCACCCACTTCAGCTGAGGACCTTCATTTGGTAGACATTTTCAGAGAACACCTACCACTTCAGGCTCTATCTAAAATGCAGTGATGACCATTTTCTTCTGAAAGATTAAGAGTGGGATGATGCTGCAGCCATTTTATAATAGTTTTGGGGGAGGTAGGAGACCCAGGTTCAGTCTCCTCATCTACTTGAGGGGATTCCAGCCTATATCTCCCACCTCTCAGGAGTGTGCTTTAATTAACAGACTATAAGCTATTCAGATGGGCACTCTCCACCCATCCAGCTGCTGTTACATTATGTGTGGAGTAATAAAAAGCTTAGCCCAGAGAGAAAAGACCATGGAAGATGGAGCATGATTTCTTAGACTAGGAGGGGAATTCCTGGGTTTTAGTTCCAGCTCCTGGGGTTGTTGATTTATTTTATATTAAAGAGTTTTAAATAGCAGGGTCAAGAACCCAGGACACCTCCAGGTGAGTGACCTCACTCCCACATTATAGAATCATGGTCGTTATGGACCGTTTCATTTCAGCACTTCTGACATGAAATGTTGACTTGTCATTTTGAAATTATATTTTATGAGTAAATATACTTCGATTTAGAGATCCTTAAAAACTCCTTAATTAAATTAAATTCTTTTTTGCTTGTTGTTTCTACAGAAACAAAAGTAAAAAATTGAAGTTTGGAATCAATTCAAAATACTTATCAGAAAGTAAGCCAATAAACATGAAACATGAAGCTTTAATAATCATAGTGGGTCTACAGAATATTCTTCATGCCCCTTGTTGGGAAATCTGTGCTAATGAATTTCTCATGAAAATGTCTAAATCCAAGCACTTGGGTTTTTATTTTCCCCTCTTAAAAAATCAGTTAGACTTTGTTGCACTTTACAAAAGTAAAGGTCTTTAAAAACCAGGTACTTAATGCACAGGTGTAAGACTCAGGAGGCAGACATGAGATTTTCTTACAAGATGCTGTGTTGCTTTTTCTGAAGAACTCTTAGCAATCTTCCTATTTAAGGCTGGGTCCTCTCCTGAGCTGGCGTTCCAAATTCTCAAGTGCTTTTGTGAAATGGTCCGCATATATATCATGTGAAGGACTACATCAGAACAAGCAAGCTAAATTTATTTGTAGGTCAGGCAAATTGAACTCTAGATCACCACAGTGTTAAAAAGACAGTATTCTGAATCACTATGCCTCCTAAAAGATAATGATATGAGATTTAAATCTCAATGTGGTGACACTCTTTTCAAAATACCTATTAACAGGTGTGACTGCACAACAGACCACAATGGATCCATCATCTCATTCCAGTTCAGAGCCAGGTCTGACCCTTTTTTTGATAATTATTTTGTATTTGATAATTATTCTGTACGTGAAAGTATAGGTTAGGAAGGTAAATGTTGTGGTTTAATCAATCCAATGGCTTGAAGTCACAACTGGGGAAAAATCAAACAAGAAATAAATATAAATTTCATAGTGTGGAATTAGCTCTTGAAACTGTCTACACAGGGGTGGGGGGCATCCATCACTCAGAGGGTATGGACAAACAAAATAACCAGGAGTAAAAAGGGGTGAGGACTTAAAATGCAGGCTCCTGCAATCACTTATGAAAGAAAACAAGGTCTTACATTTGTAAATGTGAAGATCACCATTAGGATCGTCTGGGCTGACCTACTACCTAAGAAAGGCCAAAGAATTTCAGCCAGTAATTCCTGTATAAAGCCCAATAACTTGTGGCTGGATGGAAGTGTATAACACAAGGTCATCTAGTTTTGATTTAGGTATTCCGGGTATGAACAAACAAATCACAGTGAGTTAAAAGGGGCCAGGGACTTATCACGGAGTTCCTTTGTCACTACACAGGAACTGGAAGCTAAACCAAGGCATCTGAGCCCTTTTTCAGTCAGGGATATTACTGTTGTTGTTATTATTACAGTTCATAAGATGTGGGAGGCTTGTTCTTATTCCTGCTTTTACTTGCCCTGATGGTTATTATTGCAGGTGTAGATGGGACTCCTTTTACCTTTCACCACTACTTGGGAGCTTTCCATCAGTAAACCTATCCCTGGAAACAAAGGACGCCTATATACGAGCAGTGAGGCTGCTCTGATGCTCTGTAATTACACCACGTCAAAGCAGACTCAATAAATAGAGTCTGCTGGAGCTTGGAAATTACCGTGCTTCAGCAGCCTTCAGCGTCTCATGTATCAGCATCGCCTCACGTCGAAATAGTGGCAGGGCGCTTTATCTAAAGCCCGTCAAACAAGCTTTTGAAGTGCGGGGACGCTGATACATGAGATGCTCTGGGCACTTTACTTAGAGTGGCTCTTGGAGCCCCTCTAATTAAAGTGCCCTCCCCACTCCAGGAGCACATGCATAAATGCGGAAATATATTGCATAGACGGGCAACATTCTTTGGGTAGATGTGATATCTTTTCTTAGACCAACTGAGTAGCTGAAAAAAAGTTCTTTGCAAGCTTTCGGGCGCAATCACCCTTCTTCAGGCACAGGGAGACTCTGCTGTTCTGACATCTCCAAGGAATGCTGTCCTTTGAGATCTCAGAACAGTATAGACTCCCTATGCCTGAAGAGGGGTGATTGTACCTGAAAGCTTGCAAATAACATTTTTTCAATTACTCAGTTGGTCTAAGAAAAGATAACACATCTACCCAAAGAACCTTGCATTCCTATGTCCTTAGACCAACACAGCTACAGCCAAAAACTCAGCAAAGCTATCGCATAAATACATGCCTTTAGTAGAGCCACTCAGATAATATGGTTACGGCAAGCAGGACAAAACCCTATGATAGGATAAACTGCTAAAGCTCTGTCTGGATTTGCTATGGTGGCAATTTTCTAGTACCTTGATCACACTTTGAAAATTATTTACTGTTGACAACAGGCCAGCTCATTTCTACTGTTTCCAAATGGGGTCAGAAGCTGTTGAGCTCCATAGCTTTTGACGGGAATGAATGCTAAAAACCTTGTGCTCTGAATAGTTTGCTGTAACAAGTTTATGATTTGGTTCTCCCTAATGGAGTGGCCAAAATATTTGCAACTATAGTCAGAAGTCTTGGGGGCAGCAGCTTTAGCAACCACAACCATGTAGGAGGTCTGAGTTTAGGAACAGGCCAAAGATTTTCACAGTATAAATCACTGTAACAGCTCTGCATTCCTCTGGCCTAATTTCTGTCTCTCTGTTCAGATTGCTCTATGCCAGGTGCTTTGCAGCACTGTTCAGTGAGAGAATTACAGCACTTGATTAAATGCCAAGCCATTGCCTTACTAAAGCTTCTGCTACAGAAGCATCCAGCAGTAGTAGCTACAATTAAAGCCTATGCAGCCAGTTCCAGTTCTCTTAAATGTGACTACACAAGGAGTTGTCCCAAGACAGGAAACCTCAAGGGAAATGACTCAGAGCAACTATGTACAAACAGCCAGCGGTCCCAGGTGGAAATTGCTCTGGATTACAATAGATTCAAGAGATAGTATCAAGTGCTCCCAGCATTTTTTCCTAGGGGAAGTTTTTTTCCCTAGGATATCCTGCTCACATGTCCATGGCTTTAAATAAAAGCACACTATATTGGAGACAGACAAGAAAATAAGGAGAGTCAGAAGACCAAATCTTGACATAGACTTGCTTTAGATTAATATTGGTAAACAAGCCACTTGACAAACAAGAAACTTAAGCGCACAAACTTTCCTCCAAAGATGTGTCAGTAAAAGCAGCACTCATCTTGTTAGCTCAGGGTTAGGACTCCAGGAAGGGCTCAGGGAAACGTGTTGCAAGTTTCTGGCAGAGTCAGTGCACTTTGATAAGTGCATTTGTTTCAAATTTGTTTTAATTCATATGATTTTTCCAAAAATTAGGCAGACAAGTTTCTTTGGGTAAATCTGTTATCTTTTATTAGACCAAATAGTTGGAAAAAGTCTTCTTTGCAAGCTTTCAGATAGAAACACTCTGCATCAGGCTGAGGAAGCATCTGCCTCAGCATTGATATTGTACTACAGGATACTTCTGCAGACACAGTAACAGTTCCCAGAACTGATGGGGAGTAGTTAATATCACAACCAAAGTGTCCCACATAATGGGCACGTCTACATGTGCATTAATGCGCTGTAATTACAGCACATTAAGTTAGTACCCGTAATAACAGATACTAACTTAATGCACCATAATCAACGCTATTGTGCAGTAGCACCAGCACACCTTTTTTTTCCCTTGACACTAATGCACAGTACGCTAATTCTACTATGTGTTAATGCATTGGCGTGGCTAGTGATCAGTAGAATTAGTCTACTGCATTTCTAGTGTCTCGTGTAGATGCGCTCAGTGTATATTACCATTAAACACAAATGTAAGAGGTGAGCATCAGTCTGTTTTTATGGGGTTGTTGGGGTCAAGTCCATCAGTTTTCATTAAGTCATCCCATTATTGCTCAGTAGTGCAATACATAAAGCATTTCAGACTGTGCAAGCATGATGGAAGAAACAGGCTGAGAATAAGCTCTTGGCAAGCAAAACTCCCATAGCATGCAGGCCAGCGTTCCAAAACAATCACTTCTTAGCAGCGATAAAACACGTGCCTTTGCAGCCCTCCTTACACAGTCAACACTCTTTTATAGCTGGTATTCTGCAGTGGGCTGAAAAGTCCAATTCACTATATCCTCCTCACTTCAGTGTGGAATGTTTTCCAGACATATTTATATCTTAAGACTACTCAAATACCAAACTATACAATGTGATGGGAATATTAGTCTGAATTAAGGTTGCTTGTGAAACTTATGCAAGTCCTGATTTACCACAGCTGATTATTTTTTAAATGTTAACATCATTAGACATCTCCTAGTTTTTAAATATATGTCATTTTACTTAAGTAAAATTTTGCTTGACATTTGCTTATACCTCTTACTTCCTTTTATTGCTGACTTTGTTTGGGATTTGTTTTAGTTCTCTAACCCATATGCAATGCAGAGATCTGCATGTTGGTGATATGCTGTGGCTGGTTTATAATGTAGAATTTTTTTCCTTTCAGCTTGAGCCTCAAATGGCTTTTTTCAAAATGTAAAGTAAGGATTTGCAGCTCTTGATTTGCAGTTTGCTAAATGTATCCAAGGTCCTATTATTTGAATAGTCTGTCATGGGGTTCTAGCAAATGTGCTTCCTGAATCACTGTCCACAATACATATATCTTGCATTGGATTTTCTGCAGATAATAGTTCCTCAGGGAAAAGGACAGGTGATAAAACGGAAAACGACGTTGTTTTGTTGAAGAGCGATCAGGGTGGAGGGGGACACCCAGTCCCAGAGACAGGTAAGACTCTTCCTATGCATGTCAATTTACTGCAGGGTCAGGCAAAATGCGGCCCGCCAGGCCATTCTATCTGGCCCGCGGGACCGCTAAAAAATTTAGAAAATTAATATTTATCTGCCCTTGGCTGCCTGTCAAAGATGACAGGAGCCAGGGGCAGTAGAACCCAGGGGGAGCCGGTGGCAGAACTAAACAGCTGCAGCAGCAAGTCTGGGCCAGTCCTGTCCTGTTTCCCGCCCCCCCCCCCCCCCCCCCCCCCCAGCCCCAACCAGAAGCCTCTACCTCCCAGGGGCTTCTGGAGGCTTCTGGCCTGGGACTGCTCCTGCCTCCCTGCCTTCCCCACACCCCACATACCCACAAACCTATACCCACCCTCCCACAATATACAAGAGTAAGATTTCATGTTAAGCTATTACACTATCACCTCTGTGTACACTACAGAATCACACGTAAATCAGGACAAAAATATTTTTTGAAATGAAATGAATGAACGTTGTAGTAGGTTTAATTTTTAGAATATAATTTGGTATTTTTCTGGTTTCGAGATGGCAAAACCCCTTGCTGAAAGGAGTACTTCCAGGGGGCAAGCAGAGGGACTTCTGGTAGCAAAGGTTAGGGGTTAGGGGGTGGGACTTCTGGTCCTAAGATGGCGACAAGGGGGTGGGGCTCCTGTCAAGGGCCGCATGGGTAGCCCCGCCCCTCGATGGCTTGCCAAAACTCAGTAAGCGACCTTCAGCTCGAAATGATTGTCCAGCCCTGATCTATTGGCTACACTTCTTGAACTGTATTTTTTACCTTTATTATCAAAGAGGCTAGTATGACAGACCCAGATAAATAAAGGAAAGGAGTACTACTGTGCTCTGTTAACACTGCTGCTTGTGTGTGTGTGATTCTCCTAAGGGTAACTAGAAGGCTCTGTGTTACTCCAGTCTAGCTCAGTGACTCTCAAACTTTTTTGTGCCAGGACCCGTTTGTAAACACCGATGGCCAGTCCCAACCCTGTAAATAGTCCAAGTAGAAAACAGCCCCCTGGCCCTGCCGGTGCCCCTCACTCCCAACCCATTGCCCTCTGCCCCCAGGCCCCCAGTGTACATGGTAGGAGGATGTGTGTGTGACCAGGGGGAGGGGGTGAGCAGCCCCATGCAAGCTGGAACTTCTTCAGGTTTTCTTCTTTAAAGGAAAATCCATTTTTAAAGTTTGTTGATCCATTTTTAAGCTTGTTCGCAACACTTTCATATATTCTTGCGGCCCACAGATTGAGAAACACTAGTCTAGTTGATACACCTACAAAAAAAAGACCTATTAATAGTTCTCCATCACAGTTTTTTTAACTTCTTTCTAGGTGCTGTGCTACCCCTGGCTTTAGGCTTGGCGATCACTGCTTTACTGCTACTTATGGTCACTTGCCGGCTGCGTTTAGTGAGACAGAAACTGAAGAAAGCCCGACCCATTACATCTGAGGAGTCTGATTACCTCATAAATGGGATGTATCTCTGAACAGACGGTGTAGATAGCTGGTTTTCTCCCCTTCACAGTTTTTTCCATTAACCTCTGCCTCTAGCAAGTGACCAAGCTCCTCAGTAAAATTTCAAAATAAAAACTATTTCTAGATCACTTTGCCAGCTGACCTATCTGTTCTTCTCCTTTGGCTATATGGTAAGCTCTCCCATTTCTCAGTCCAGTTACTAATTTGGATACATATATATTTGTAGACAGAAGACAAGAACAGTTCAGGCTATGTCTGAAAATAACCTTGTACCTATGTTTACCCTGTGTGCAGAAAAATGCTGCAACTTGAAGAGACCACCACTGGATGGCAGAGTATCTTTGCCTTCCACCTCATTCTTTCCCCTTCTGAAATAACAGTTAGCCAGAGCCAAGTATTTTACATTAGAAAGAGAGAGATTAGAGAAGTATTGGGCTACCGTAAGGCAGGGTAAAGACAACGTAGGCAGACCTGTGGAAAAAAGCAAGTACCAATACATTATGCTTTAGCATGTCCATTTACCATCTGAGGAGTGTTTCAAAACCCTGCTCATGCACTGGCAAAATTTTTACTAGAGGCGTTTGTCTTTGCCTAGGTACAGGTTGCCCATAACTAAAAAAGTGTCAGCTTTTGTAATATAATTTCGAATAGAAACACACTCTGTGCATCATCCGTTAAAACCCTTGGCGGTCAAGGCCTGAGCACTGCAGATTCTAAGCACTGACATGAAAGACATCAGCACTACAGGGACTTCCGTGGAACAGCCCAGTGCCAGTGGCAAGTGAGCAAGCTCATGGGGCTATGCCCCTTCCCCACAACTCAGCTTGCTCAGCTTTTTCCACCCCTAGCCAAGCACTTCCAGGATTTTGAAAGAGCTACGTGTAGTGACTTTGACCTGTGCTCAAGATAAGCTATGCTTTTGTTCCGGAGGACATGGTTTGTTCTATTATACTGTGCTGTCAGTAATAAAAATGAAGTTAGTTCCAGCCAGATATACACAGGCAGCACTGTTACTGCTTCTACCACAGTGAGCTTGATACTCAGGGCTAACTTCCCATGTAATGCAGATGGGATACCATTTCTGCTTCCTGAGACATTTCAGAATCTTGCTCATTGATCATCACTTAGCACCCAGCAAGCTTTAAGGCTTCAGTGACCCTCCCAGTACAAATCTTATAGAATTAGAGCAAGTAATTGATGTGTGTGAATGAACATCAAACGTGTTAACTGTAAACTATGTGCAGTACATGTTAGATATATATACCGTGCCGTTTATCCTGTTTGTCTGAACATGCAAGGGTGTCGCATTCATCAAAGGTCCCAGTAAAAATCAAGACAGATAAGGCATGCATCTTTTTGTATGTCGTCTTTTGTACTTCAATGAATTTAAGTCAATTGGAATATTGCCATGGTGTACAAATAGTTAATCAGAAAAACCCCATGTCTTGATGTCTTGATTACTTTTATGTACAATAGCGATAATAAACCTATTTTATTCTTAAATGTCTTGTGCTTATTTTCAGCTAAAACTGAAATTAAATTGTTTGAATTTTCTGGAACATACAGGAGAGCAAGCATCATATCTGATGAGCACTTTGGCTTTCCCAAAACCAAGAAGAGGTTGGAGTCTGTATTTCTGTGGTATGAGAAAACAAAAGAGGAGCTGTGAACTTATACCTGCTGCTGCTACTTGCTTCATCTAATGATATAATTCCCATAATAAATAACTTGGTTGCTTTAAATTTTTACATCCTACTTTAAATTGCAGTAAGAGTAGACCTTGTTTTGCCAGCCTGTCAGGGAAGTCTGATGCTGGTACTATCTACAAGCAAATCAAGGTAAGACAAAATGTTGCTACATACTAGATGCAAATTAAAAGGTCCTTGTGCTCCCTAGTTATGTTCCAGTGTAGTGTTGGGTACAGGTTACTTTCTGCTGATAGAAACTGTCTCTAGTGGGTTATGGAATAGAGAAAATCCCACACAATTTACTGATTCGTTTTGGTGCACTGGCTGGGGGAGTAGTTAGCTGATTGCACGATTTCACAATGATTACACACTTAATTTATACAACACAATTTTATTTTAAAACTCTTTGCTACGTATATAACACTGCTTAGCTTTAAGAAACACCACAAACATTAAGAACACAATAATTATATATATCAGAAACAATGCTCCGAATGCACTTCTTTCCCAAACAATGCTATAAGAATTAGTGTTACAAAAACAACTACAATTACAACTAAAAGTTAAATTTGAATCAATACTATTATTTTCATAATATACTTACAATCCTAGAATTCCGAGAAGCCAAATACCAAAATATGGTTTCATTCCTCAGTAGTACGATTTAATGGGTTGGCCTCAGTAGTACGGTTCAATGGGCTCGCCTCAGCAATACGATTCAATAGGCTGGCCTCAGCAATACAATTCAACGAGCTGGGCTCAGCAGTGATAGGACTAAGTCCCCTTCCTTCAGTCCCTTTCGGGCGCTCTGCAGCTTCAGCGTGCTACTCAACTTGTCATAACTCCCAAATTTGGGCTCGGATCTTACTCAACAGATTCTTTTGAAATTACCTTTGTTGAGCATTTTAAATTATTCTTGGGGAGACTTCCATATCACTGTAAATACCTTTTTTTTTTACCAGTCTGGTTAAAAGGCCCTAGGGCTTTGATGTCTCGGAACTCAGGATATTTGCTTTCTTTGTAAAAGACTTCTAAAGATACAATTTAAATTAAGACTTTAACCAAAGTCAGGACATTTTACACGTAGCCCCAAAAACAATGACTTAGATAAGGAGATAAATCCTATCTTCTTCCTGAAACTGGCTAATGGGCAACCTTTACAAACATTCAAACTATTTCATTCAATATGACAGAAACCTTCCAAAATCTATGGACACATTTGTTGTTTCCTTTCTACCATAGGGGCTGAATGCCTTAAACAAATACATCAAGTTGTCTAGGGTATACAAGACAACTTGCACTATCAGTGGGGTTTAAAGGATGGAGAAGATGCTCCAAATTTGCTTCAATCAGCCCTGCTCACTGTCCCAGCATTAATGCATTAGTGCCCTGCAGTAATACTTTTGTTTTGTTTCTAAAATTAGACATTTAGCACAGGGGTTCTCAGCCTTTTTAGACTCAAAACACCCCTCAGAAAATGCTAGTTCTTAGCTTTTACTCAGTATTTGACTACAGGAAAATAACAGAGCAATTCTTCTCTTGCAAAGAACTCAGAAAGGTTACAACAGGTCAGCGTGTTTTCAACTCTGTGGATTCCTATTTGAAATCTCTGGGTTTATCTTGTGAATCATATGCAGGTGTTAATGTTGTGCAGCACCCAGCAAAACCTTTACAAGGATCCCATAGCACTGACTGAGAATCACTGCTCTAGCACTTCTTTCCTGTCTCCAAGGCTCATCCCTGATCTTGGATATCAAAGTCTTTATTGTTTCCCTACTGTGTCCATGTAATCCCTAGGAGTGAAATTCCTGATCTTTAAGACTTAGCTGATAGGAGGGATGGAAGCCTTTGGATTCTGCAGAAATGTCTGAGGCCCACTGAGGAGATGGGAACAGAGTCTAGTGTGCAGTAAGGCAATTTAATATGTACATACAGGCTGCTTGCAGATGTTAAAAAAACACACACTTTATTGGAAGAAGCAGCGTGTTCAACCTGACTGCAGCATCTGTATAGATTGGGCGCTTCAGTGGGGCTTTTTGGTGCCTTTATCTAATAGCTGATTCAATCGGCTATTAGATAAAAGCTTCACTAAAGCATCGGATCTATACAGACATTAGGCAAGCCGGGTCCAACTACAGTGGTGCCTCTTCTGGGCATGCACTGGACTCGGTGCAGGAGTGTGCTGAGTTTAAAGTAAAGCACTGTTTTTTTTAATGTCTGTAAGCAGCCACAGTTCTCACGCAGCTTTGTCTGACAGCCCAAGTTGTCTCTATTCCCACCTCCAGGAGAGTTGAGGAAACACTGTGCATACTCTTATCTAGAGTTTTGGAAAAAACAGCAGGTAGCATGTATGGTGCAGGCAGTATTAAGAATGGCTTTGTTATAACTATTAGGTTTTCCCGCCAGAAATGCATAGGCAATGCACAGGGGGGCACGTGCCCCACCTGAGATTGGCCACTGCTGAAGCTGCCACTGGCTTCTGCAGGCAGTTGCTGCCCCCCCCTTGCCGCTGACGCAGCCACCAGCAGCTGTGGGCAGTCCCCGCTCGCTGCCCACCACTCACCACCCCCTCCTGTCCCACCATGGTGCCCCCCCAGTCGCGGGAGGCACCAGTTGTTCATGCAGAAATGCATGCTTCAAGACCAGTGATTCTCACCCAGAATGCCACAAAATCCTTTTAAGGGTGCCTTGTAACATGAATGACACGTGCCCCCTGTAGCTGGGGGGGCACGACGGTGGCAGCAGTACGGTGGCAGTGAGCAGGGGAGCTCCTGCAGATGCCATCAGCACTGTCAGCAGTAGGGGGGTGGTGGCAAGCACCAACCAGGAGTCGGCAACCACCTGCAGATGCCACCAGCAGTGGCAGCCAGCGGGGATCGCGGACTGCCTGCAGACACTGCTGATGGTGTCAGCAGCGGGGTGGTGAGTGGTGACCACCTGCAGGTGCAGCTGACAGTGTCAGCAGCGCCTTTTTGTAGGGGGTGCACTGCCACACTCGGGGAGTGCACCTGCACCTGCGTGCACCCACTATGCATTGCCCCTGCCTTGTAATATTAACACTGTTAGATCTGCAAACACCTACACATGATTCACAAGGTAAATCCAGAGATTTCAAATAGGAATCCATAGTGCCAAAAACATTCTGACCAGTTGTGGGCTTTTCACGTTCTTTGTGACAGAGGGATTGGTGTATTATTTTTCCATAGTCAAGACATAAGAGAAAACTAAGAGATGGCATTTTCTAAGGGGTGCCTTGAGTTTTACATGGAGTGCCTTGAGGCTAAAAAGGTTGAGAACCACTATGCTAGACACTAAGACTAGAAGGATGATCCTCATCAGCTTGTAGGCCACTTGCCTAAGACTAATGCACTACTTATACCTCAACTTTAGGGCCTGAAAGATGCCTGGCCCCTTCTGGTCTTCTCTCCTAGAGATTACTTAGGGCAGGCTAGCTAACTAGCACTTTATTTATGTTAGTGGCAGTTAGTTGTGACCAATTTACAACATCCCCGACCCCCCATGATGAGTTACAACTCAAGTCTGTTCAGTGGAGCATAACCTTTATATTTCATAGGAGAATATTTAATTTAACAGTCAAAGGGGTAATTTGACCCAATATAGTCAATGCTAAGCAAAAATGTTACAGGTAGCTTCTCAAGCAGTTCACCATGTCCCTTGTTTTATTCTGTGCCTGCTAATTACATTAACATGTCTGGACATCACCTCTACATGCAAATGCATTTTGAGACCTAAGCATTCCAGCAAGCTTTACTTAAAAAAAACAGAATTATAGAAAAGTAGGGCTGGAAATGACTTACAGAGGTCACCTAGTCCGGGGGGGGGCAGTTATTTCAGGTGAGGTCTGCTTACTGAGTTTTGGCAAGCCACTGCAGGCCACATGACAGGCAGCCAGGGGCAGATAAATATTAATTTTCTACATTTTTAGGGGCCCCACGGGCTGGATAAAAGGGCCTGGCAAACCACATCCAGCCCACGGGCCACATTTTGCCCACCCCTGATCTAGTCCAACCTTCTGCCCAAGGCAGGATCATCCCTATCCAAACCATCCCAGGTAAATCGTTGTAGGTTTGTAGGGGACTGGACTATTGGACAAATCATTGCCAGCTGTAGGGGACTGGATTAGGAACTATGGTCTCAATCAACCTTTCTCACACGACTATAAGGCATAGCACCCTAGCCACAGGTAAAGCAGGGGGACTATGACAGTCATCGTACAGCCTCTGCAGGGCTTTTGAAAAATGCTCAAGAGACCCAGCACAGAAGGCCACACACCCCACTACAGAGGAGGGCAAAACCCCCACAGCATGCACCAGTTTGACCAAACGGTTAAATGCCTTCCAGACCCTAAATATGACTGATCCTTGCCTTGGCTGTAGCCAACACCAAATCCTTCTGAGGAAGATGGGAGGAAAAAAAAAACAAAGCTAAAAAACCTTGACCTTCTTAGAATTCCTTCCCAGCTCCACGTGTTAACCAGCAAAGCCAAAAAGCATGGGAGGCACTAAACATGTTGCGTTGTACTCTGCAACCTGGAGACAAGCAGCAGAACCCCACATATCACACCCTGTTACTGGAGAGCCAGGACTCCCTTTTATGTATCCCCTTCATAAACCTGTCCCAGTTCCTTTAACCTTCTTTTATAATTAAGCCAGTTGTGGAGCTCTGCTTCATTCTCCTGCTGCTGAGTATAGTCATCTCTAGTATCCTGCTGGAAGCTACAGAGTTCTCATGATCTCCCAGCAATCTGTACAGGAAAGGATCCTCCTGAGCTTCAA